GGAGTGGTGGGGGTTGTAGAAGTGGATGACAACTTGGGCAGCAGTGACTGCGAGATGATTGAGATCAGGAAGGATGGAGGGCAGCAGAGGAAGGACCCTGGACTTCAGGAAAGCAGACTTCAACTCCCTCAGGGAACTCCTGGGCAGGATCCCCTGGGAAGCCGGTCGGAGGGGGAGAGGAGTCCAGGAGAGCTGGCTGTACTTGAAGGAAGCCTTACTGAGAGTGCAGGATCAAACCACCCGGATGGGCAGGGAGACTAGCAAGTGTGGCAGAAGACCAGCTTGGCTTAGCAGGGAACTCTTCAGTAAACTAAGTCACAGAAAGGAAGCTTATAAGAGACGGAAACTTGGATAAATACTTAGGGAAGAGTATAAGAGCATTGCTCGGGGATGCAGGGATGAAGTCAGGAAGGCCATAGTGCAACTGCAGTTGCAGCGAGCACGGGACATGAAGGGAACCAAGAAGGGTTTCTACAAGTATGTCAGTAGAAGGAGGAGGATCAGGGGAAGTACGGGTCCCTTACCAACCTAGTGACAGAAGATGAAGAAAAGGCTGAAGTGCTCAATGCTTTTTTTGCCTTTGTCTTCACAGACAAAGTCAGCTCTCAGACTAGTGCACCAGGAAGCACAGTGCAGGGAGGAGGTGAGCCCCCCTCCGTGGTGAAAGGACAGGTGAGGGACTACTTAGAAAAGCTGGATGTATACAAGTCCACTCGGGATGCACCCGAGGGTGCTGAGGCAGCTGGGTGATGTGATTGCACAGCCACTGGCCATCGTCTTTGAAAACTCATGGTGATCAGGAGGGGTCCTGGATGATTGGGAAAGGGCAGACATAGTCCTATATTTAAGAAGGGGAAGGAGGAGGTTCCAGGGAACTCCAGACCAGTCAGCCTCACCTCAGTCCCTGGAAAAATCATGAAGCAGATCCTCAAGGAATTCATTTTGAAGCACTCAGAGGAGAAGAAGGTGATCAGGAACAGTCGGTGTGGATTCACCAGGGGCAAGTCATGCTTGACCAACCTGATTGCCTTCTACGATGAGATGACTGGCTCTGGGGATGCAGGGAGACTGGTGGATGTGGTGGACCTTGATTTTAGCAAGGCTTTTGATACTGTCTCCACAGCATTCTCCCAGGCAAGCTAAGGAAGAGTGGGCTGGATGAATGGACTGGAAGCTGGATAGAAAGCTAGCTGCCACATCAGACTTAGAAAGTAGTCATCAATGTCTAATTGTCTAGTTGGCAGCCAGTATAAAGTGAAGCGCCCCAGGGGTCGGTCCTGGGACCAGTTTTGTTCAATGTTTTCATCAACGACCTGAAAGATGGGATGGGGTGTACCCTCGGCAAGTTTGCAGATGACATCAAGCTGGGGGGAGTCATAGATACACTGGAGGGGAGGGCTAGGATTCAGAGTGACCTAGACAGATTGGAGGATTGGGCCAAAAGGAATCTCATGAGGTTCAACAAGGACAAGTGCAAAGTCCTGCACTTAGGATGAAGCAATCCCATGCACCGGGACAGGCTGGGGCTGACTGGCTGGGCAGCAGCTCTGCAGAAAAGGACCCAGGGGTGACGGTGGACAAGAGGCTGAATATGAGCCAGCAGTGCGCCCTTGTTGCCAAGAAGGCTACCGGCATCCTGGGCTGCATTGGTAGGAGCATGGCCAGCAGATTGAGGGAAGTGATTCTTCCCCTCTGTTCAGCACTGGGGAGGCCACATGTGGAGTCCTGTGTCCCGTTGTGGGCCCCCTGCTGCAGAAAGGATGTGGACAAAGAGAGTTCACAGGAAGGCAAGAGTCCAGAGGAAGGCAACAAAAATGGTTTGGGGCCTGGGGGACATGATTTATGAGGAGAGGCTGAGGGAATGGGGTTAATTTAATCTGCAGAAGAGAAAACTAAGGGGGGATTTAATAGGAGTCATGTCCAGTTTTGCTCCCCCCCCCCCCCC